ACCTGACTAAAAGCCGCAGGGTTCAAAGCTTGTGCAAAAAGTAGCGGCTTATAGCCCGACAATTACGGTAAGTAATGCGTGATGTGACCAGGAATCAATGGAAATTTATGAGGGTGGGGGTGATGTGTTCCCAGAGCTTGGTGCATGTTAGAAGCCTAGCAGCTGAGTTTCTGGACATACTGGAGCCTGTCCAGGACTCCAGGACCTCACTGCAATAATCCAGCCAGTTGGTGAAAAAGTCATGGATGACGGTCTCTGCTACAGGTGCTCATCAGGTGACATTTCATTTATATGAGCCTGGAATGGAAGTGTGAAGCTCAAATTGTCACCCAGATTGTGAACTTCTGGGGATAGTAGGATGTGGCGACCGACTATGTCAGTGAGTAGATCGCCAATCTTCGGGAGTACGGCTTTGAAGGCCACAACAATAAGTTCTGTTTTATTACTGTTGAGCTTGACTAGGTTAGATGACATCTGTGTTATAATTGCAGCTGACATGACCAAACTCAGCCTGCTAACCAGTTTTTCAACAGCTGAAGCACAGAAAATGTGAACACTGTGTGCCATTCTCAAGTCCAATATCTTTTTCTTTTTTTTTTTTATGCTGACAGGGAGCACTTTTTTAAAAAGCAAAATATTTATTTAATTCCAAGAAAGCATAGAGAAATGAATGCAGTATGTCATATATGCAGACTATTCAGAAAGCTTTACCTGCCATGTTATTTGTGTCATCATTAAATCTATCTTGACTCACATACTGTCATTGTGTGAGTAAAGCAAACTATCTCACTGATGCTGTTTGACTAAATAACATTTAGCAGGAGAGGTTCGATTACACTCTGTAATGCCAGACGGACACAAACACTCAAAATATACTGTAACGTGATATGCTTGCATTAATATAAACATGCACTTGCTTTCAGTTTTTGCATGTGTCACTTTGAAATAGAAAACACCCAGTGACTCACTACAATGCCTTCTCATCACACACCACCCAGAGCATGTAAATCTACTCTGCAGCTCCCAGTGCAATGCTGATCGCACTTTGCGTTTTCAAATAGCCGTAAAAAGGTCTGACACGGTGTAGTCTGAGGCTGTTCCATCAATCAGGCCTCTTCCCTCGTTGTCAACAAACCAGCAGGCGATGCTTTCTCCATTCTTCACATCCTTGTTGAAGTCTTTTTGCCAGTGTCTACAGAATATATAGATGTTTTTTTTCAAGGATGATTTGCACATACATGAAAGGAAACTAAATTTAAGGCTGAGTGAATATTATGCACACTTCTAAAATTTAAGAAGTCGCCTCACCTTGTCACATTCAGCCTTTGCCCCTTCACGTACATGGTGGCATCCAGTTTCTCCTGGCCTTCACCTGGACGCAGGTCTGTCAGCTCAAACACAACCCCACGGTAGAACTGACCTGTAGCAAAATAGCTTATGTGACATCTTTTGTTTCTGTTTTAAGAATTAGTTTTTAGTAAAAACAAAAGAGCTACAGGGGTGTCGAACTCCAGGCCTCGAGGGCCGGTGTCCTGCAGTTTTTAGATCTCACCCTAGCTCAGCACACCTGAATCAAATGATTAGTTCATTACCAGGCCTCTGGATAACTTCAAGACATGTTGAGGAGGTCATTTAGCCTTTATGGTGTGTTGTCTTGTATCAAGGTTACATCTAAAACCTGCAGGACACCGGCCCTCGAGGCCTGGAGTTCGACACCTGTGAGCTACACAGTCACTTTATTACTATATCAAAGCTTCTTGCAGTTTAATACCTAGCAGACCATGAACTGAAGCAGACAAGTGCTGGCTGTCCAGAGTGTAGAAACCCAGGTAGTCTTGGTGGTCGTGGCGTCTCTTCCAAACCTTTGTGTGTCGGATGACCCTGAATTTCACTGAGTGCCTCAGCGTCACTGTCAGACTGCAGTTTTTAACTAGCTTGAGCTCCATACTTGGTCAGAGGCATCCAAGATGGAAAACACATGAAAAAATGAAGGAAAAGAACTAACGTCATTTGCAAATGTGATTAAGGTACATATAGTAATTATTGGGACTGAAAAATGGTTTAAAATATTTAATAATTTCAACTTTACGCATGTGTTTTGCCTGGGGATTTTACTCACTTGGCATCTCTGAGTGAGGTGGCATCAGACCACAGCAGCTTGACCTGCTTGTTATTGTAGAAAACAGAGATATCCTGAATGCTCACATCCAGTCTCACCCCCAGGTTCTGATGTGTGATACCAAAACGGCCAAAGTAGGTGTTCACGTTACCATCCAGAGCAACTTTCTTCTTGCTAATTATTTTGCCATTCACCACAAAGCCTGAAATGAGGGAGGATAATGAATTTGGAAAATTTGAAAAAAGAAAATTCTCCCATTAGAACGAGTCCTTCAGTATCTTCTTGATGCATGCTCAATCGTCCAGGTAAGTAAATCCCCAAAGTTTGATTCTGTTCATCTGGACGTAGCGTTTTTAGTGGGAGAAACGTTTCATCTCTCATCCAAGTGACTCAGCTGACTGCAGGTTTCCCCAATCTTATAAACAGTACATTTGCATAATGACTGAAACCAGCACACTGAAGGAACAATAGGCTGGGAGGTCAGTTCCTTGATCATTACAGTAGTGCTAGTTTCAGTTGTTATGCAAATGTACCATTTATGAGACTGGAGAAACCTGCAGTCAGCTGAGACTGAAGAAGTCACTTGGATGAGAGATGAAACGTTTCTCCCACTGAAAACGCTACCTCCAGATGAACAGAATCAAAGTTTGGGGAGTCCTTCAGAAAGACTCAGGACAGACCTGATTTGGGGTCTCTGACCAGACTGAAAATGGTTCCTGGTTTGTCGTTGATGTTGAAGCACAGAGCGTCGTTTTTATCTGGAAGCTCTATCATAAAATGGGGATCTCCATCAACTGCAGCAAGTAAGTCTAGAAAAAAAAGGTATATCTGAGTAAAAAGCTAATTTAATTATTGAGCTGACAGGTGTGTTATTATAATAAAACAGAGTCTGCACCAACAGTAAAACTATCTTACCTGCCCTTATGACAGCAGTGTACAGCCTGGTTTTTCAGAATTAAATGTTTTCAGTTAAATACACTTACTTGACATTTTATTAGGTACATCTTGGTAGTACGAGGCTGAACCCCACTTACCTTGAAAGCAGCCTTAATTCTTTGTGAAACGTGTTAAACAAGGCTCTGGTAACAGTTCTCAGACATTTTGGCCCAAATTGACATACCATGACCCCATTAATACATTAGTATTACTAATATTGTAACATTGTATTTGATATGGCAGACGTCTTAAATAATGACGGTCAAAACATTCACAACTCCTGAGTTTCTTGAGTCTTCTATGAATGTTTTCATTAACTGTATAAGGAAGCTGTAATGCTTACCTATTATAATAGCATGAAATGAAACAAAACAAAACACCGAAACCACCTGTCAACTATTTAAGTCCGTAAAAAAATGTTACATATGAAACACTTACCATCAATTACACGCGAGCCGACAGCAGGCGATGCATGTGCACCTGCTATAAGCACAGTTTCCTTCATATGCATTGTGTAAGTCAGATAAGATAAGAAAGGCTTTACTTTAGGCTTTACCAGATTTGGGAAATTCTTCTCTTATAGCAGTTTAAAAAGTAAATGAAAACACATTAAATTCCATTCAAAGACTTCCCATACCCATGTGTCTTTCTGCTTGCTGTCGCTGGCCTGTAAAATAGGAAAGAAATGAAAAAGAAAAAGTTATCTTTGCCAAAGTGATGGGAGAAGAATGTTTCTGCTAATTTAATAAGCAGTGGATTTTCTTCCTCCTACTTTCAGTCAGCTTGTCAGCAATGAAAGAGCGATCAGCTCCATTCTCGTTTTCAGGCTTGGTGACCACCAAGGATGTGAGAGGGGTGACAAAGTTATACTTCAGAGACAGGTTCAGAGCCTTGGCTTCTATATTTCCTCTCTCCTCTTTAGTACTGAGAGCACTGGAAGAGAGACAGAGGACAAGATGGACATGACGTTAATAATTCATTATGATGTATAACATAATGTTTAACGAAAAAAAAAAAAATCACCATCAATAAAATTTTCTGCACGGTAACAGAAAAATTTCCCCATGAACCAACCTGTTCTCCAGCTGCTGCTGGATGGTGAGGTAGGCCCACATACGCTCAATGAAATCTCCAAAAATGTACCCCTTTTCTGGGTACGCTGTCTGCCAGTCAGTCACACTGGCCTTTCCCTGTGCCACAAAGTTCTCTTCAGACTTGTTAAAAAGGAAAGATTAAATGACAGACATTATTCTGTGCAGCCACTCAACTTTTTTTTTTTTTTTTTTTAGCAAGCTGACATCAGCATGCTAATATTGTTTCAGATAATTACGTTTCATAGATATTCAATTATTAGAATCTGAGATGGTGTTGACAGTGTTTTCCAAATCTGCAGAGTAACTGCAGCATCTAAAGTTTGTTCAACTTGCAAAGCAAAGCTTCCATGAAAGCTTTATGAAGCTGGCTAAATAACTCAGCTTACAGTAAAGTACATAAATATCACATGAGCTTTGAAAATGGGCCTTTATCCCATCATCCATCTTAACACATTTTATGACTTTAGCATTAAACATTTTTCTTATTCCATATATTTATTTATTCTTTAAGTCTTTAACGTAGGGTCTTTACCTTACAATATAAAGTGTCTTGAACTGACTATTGTTGTGATTTGTCGCTATATCATCATTAATTGAATTGAACAGCACACAGATTTGTTTTCATTTTAGTTTAAAGAGTTGAAGTTCATGAAGCACTTACAGTTGGTAAGGTGGGTAGATATATGCTGGTAGGAACGTAGTACTAACTTTGTCATAGTTGTTTAAGGTATTTACACAGATCTGATCTTATAAGCATAAGTATTGTGCTTCACATAAGTATAAAGATGGATGAAAGCCACTAGCTTAGAATCTTAAGTTGAAAGCAGAAAAGAATGAAAAGTAATGAGACTCCACTTGATGTTCGGACAACAACAGTCAATTACAGCTCGGTTCATTTACAGTTCGTGAAATTCCATATTCAGCCACAGTGAGACTGAATAATAAGGCTCATTTGTATGAGCACTAACATAGATCTGAAGTCAAACTCATGTTGTAAAGGAAATACTTTAATAATGTGCTCTCCCTTTTCTCACCCCGTGGGCAAACACTTCCACCAAGAAGTTTTCCACGTCATTTTCCTTCAGCTGACCAGCGACCACGATCTCTGAGCCGTTGAACAGCTGGCTGTAGTGAGTTTTGGTTAAGAAGTCTGTATTCTCTGAATAACGCAGATCCACCTCCAAGAGCAGAGGGCTGGACACTTCCTCGTAGAAACCCTGCAACAAAGACACAAAATTGTTGCCATTTATGTAAGGCACAAACTAGCATTTCTACGCTTGCATTGATTTTCATGTTACAGTCATTAATGTTCTTAATTTCTTGCCTTACCTTGAGTTGAATGGCAGCATCTGAACCCTCAAAAATTCTCCGGGCTACTCCTTTATTTTGCCTGCACATAACATCCAGGAAGGAGTAATCCACATCATTTCCAAATCCAAGACAGAACAGAGACATGATTCCTCCAATAGCAGAAAATACATTCTGCTGGATTAGCTGGGGGCTGGTCACCCCTGCAGACACAAACACACTTACATATGAGCATGCATTAAAAAGCTTCCATTTCCAATGAAATTGTCGAGTTGGGTGTCAGCTTTACATAACAAATCAGTTCCATCTTACTCCCTAACATTGTTAATATTCATTTATATGCTATTATAAATGAGTAAAAAAAAATGCTGCGGGATACAGGTTCCTCTCGCGTTCTTAGCTCAGGGTGAGCAGGTGGGTGAGCTGGTGGTGGGCCCAGCAGTTGCTTCGTGGCTTCCTCCGGTGAGCACCTGCCGGGCACATGCCGCTCCCACCTAAGGAGTGGGGATGGGTGAGGCACCAGGCAGCGTCCTGGCTGATTGCAGGCCCCGCCCCACCACCTACCCCCATCGCCTGACTGAGGCCGCTGAGCCTGGCGGCTCTCACCCTGGGAGCCGGCATGGGCGCCGGAGCAGCCCGGACCCCTGTCTCTCCCTGCTGTCCCATATGTGGATCCACCACAATTTTCAACACACAGAATGTTTAAGATTGTCTCACCACTGTTTGGCATCCCGTCAGTCAGTAGAAAAATCATATCCATACTCCTCTCTGGAACTTTCTTTTCTTTTCTTTCTTTCTTCAGCAAACTAACTGCATCCAGTATAGCACTGTTGATGTTGGTGCCTGAAAAGCAACAATGCTTTGAGAACGTGAAAATCTCATCATGTTCAAACTTTTACTTTACTCTTTTACTTGTTAAGCCTTGACCAAAAGATTGATAATATTCTCTCTATGCAGCAGGACTGGATTTGGTTTAATTAGACTATAGCTCTGTACAAAAGTTCTGAAGACGTTTATTAAAGTTCTGAAATGAAAACAACACCTTGATTGTTTAATCTACACAAAACCTAAAAGTGTAAAAAAAATAATATTACTCTGTTTTCTATGGTATTTTGAGCATGACTCTTTCTTGGCCATGGCAGCTACTTCCTGTAGCTGTCTGTGGTCACTAATCATTGAATTGTTCTTTGTCCAGGGTGAAACAATTGTACAGGATAATTGTTTAAGAAATAAATAAAATTAATAAATTTCTCTAATCTACACATGGATAAATTATATATACATACACCTGCGTAATATTGGATTAAATATCACTTAGCAAGTTGCACCTCAACTAGATCCAATTGATAGCCATCAACAAGCTTCTGGCATAATTCTATATCTAATCACTCTTCTTAGCAGAATTGGTAGAGTTCGCTTAAATCAGTTGGTTTAGAGGCATAAACCTTTAAAATGTAGCTCACAGATTTTCAATAGGGTTTAGGCTGGGGCTTTAGAAAGTTAGAAAGTTAATTTCAGAAGGTCATTGTTGCCCTGCTACAAATATTTTCCTGTTGGAACACCCGATTGTGTCCAAGTTCAATCATTTAGCAGCTGATCTGAGGTGAAGTTGAAGAGTTTGGAGGTAATCCTGCTTCTTCATTATTCCACCGATGTTGTGCAATGTACCAATACCTCTTGCAGCAAATATATGATGATCACCCTGCTTGACAGCCTGTTCCGTGTTCTTAGGTTTGAAAGCCTCACCTTTACTTCTCCAAATATTCTTCTCGTCATTGATATCAGATAGCTCAATCTTTGTCTTGTTTGACCATAAAACTTTTCCCTAAAGAACATCTGACTCGTCCATGTGGACTGCTGCAAATTTCATTTGAGCTTAAAGATGTCAATTTTGGTGCTGGGGTGTCTTTCTTGGTCGGCACCCTCTCAGTCCTTGATAGTGACGGTGGTGTTCCAGCAATCTCCAGTTCATTGTAGCCTTGAGCCTTTGTGGTTTCTGTGACGTTCCTCAATATCCTGATGAATTTCCTCCCATCTGAAGATGACAGTTTGGGTCTTCTTACCAGTGTTGGTCAAGTAATCATGTTACTTTACTGATTACTTATTTTCAAAAGTAATTAATTACTTAGTTACTTTTTAAAAACATGATTTACAACCTGAAGAGGTGATAAAGCGATAGATCATTCAGCCCAATTCTACTTTTTCTGCATAATCCATCATACAAAATGTAATCAAATGGAAAAGTCTCTTTTTAAAACTTGTTTTATTAGTTTTAATCCTTTAGCTTTATGCATCAAGCAAAAATGTAATTATATGCAACATTCTCTGACTGGAAACCTATTTTCAGCACATAAAATATTTTTTTGTGTTTACACTCACTCTTTCAAATATTTGCGAGGAAAACCCAGCAGAAAATAAATAAAATCAAAGACTAGCGGTCCTGTTGCTCTATTTTCACCCCTGGTGCGGGTGTGCCGCAGCGGTCAGTTGAAGAATCCGCGTCATGCACACACACACACACACACACACACACACACACGCACACACAGTCACGCACATGTGCATTTCACACACACCTGCGTTTCGCTAATCCCTCATTCAAGATGCATCTTTTGCTCTTGCAAACACACTTGTTCACCCACACACACACTTGCATACAGCAGGTGCAGGCTGACTCAGCGCAGTACCTGGGGGGTTACAGTGGAGAGGGAGGGGCACTGAGAGATGTTTTTGGCTACCTGCAGAGCCTCTATCCTCAGGGCAGCAAGCACCAGCTCCTCCTTGGCCGCACACATTGGGAGGGCCGAATTTCAGTGGTAAGGGAGGAGAGGTTGCAGCCCAAGAATGACAGAGTAAGAGGGAAACACATGAAATTTGAGTTGATCTGCCATCTACATTTTATGCACCAGTAATCTATTTTACCCAGCAAGCTAAAAAAAAAAACTGCAACTTATGGAGGAGGAGGAGGAAAAAATGGGAAAATGAAAAGGCAGGATGTAACACAGTGACACAACGGGGAATAATGTTTTGTACAAAAACACACACAGAGACAAATATCAAGGCCCAAATATGGGTCGGCAAATTTATCAAGTAGGGTCTTGTGTGGTTTCTCAACACACCTGCAGTTTTTGGGCGAATGCTGTGGGGTTGGTCTCAGCCAGGTCAGGCTCCAGGTACTGCAGGGGGTCGTCACACTCAGACAGCCTGTCTAACAGGGGCATGGCCAGGGCTGGCGCAAGTGCCTCCACGGGGCCCTGGCTAGGGGGCTTCAAGGGCACCAGGAGGTATAGGCAGAAGGGGAGGGAGGAGGGGGCAGGGGGACAGCATGGCAAAGCAAGCGCTGAGATTTTTTTTTGAGTGGCAGCATTGGGAGGTGGTTTGCTGAATCTGAGCTGGGAACCTAGTGTGACTGACTGGCTTTTCATTATCAGTGACAAGGATTTAATAAGAATCCCTGTGACTGATGGTGTTCACTTTGGAGGGCTGAGTCACAGCCAATGACAAAGCATGTTCAGCTTTGTGAGCATACCCCTCACTAAGAGTTGATTTTGAGAATGCAAGGCAAGCATATTGATGCTACATTATTTATATCTGAGAGGCCTGTTAGATAGAACTGGAGAGGAGTGGAGCACCAGTGCGGCAACATTGACTGAATATTCTGATTGGATGCTCGAGTTTCCCATTTATCTGCACGCACAGCAACAGTGCCAGTGCGGCTGTATATATAAATTTAATCTGTAGTTTGCGTTTTGAGTTATGTGCACTGCAAAAACACCTCTTAAACACAGGTTATTATAGTATTAGAGTGCATGTGCCACACCCTCTCTGCTCCTAGACATTAATTTGACTTATACACTGGGCAGTATTAAAACTGTTTTAATTGAAAATTGACCTTTATAGCTATGAGGTAATGAAAATGCCAATACGTCAAAAAACAAACTTATATTTTGTCCCTTTTTCATAAATGACTCTGATTTTCAAGAGTAATAATTATATCACATTGAGATGAATGCAACAGAGCCTAAATAAATATTCTGAATAATTAATCCGTTAAAGACTCCCACACATCTTAGAGACATGCTTTTTTGTGTGAAGTAAGTTCCTGACAGCTGACGGGATTCTGGCAAAAGCCCTCAAAACAAAAGCTCCTCCCATGCTGTTACATTAATTGGCAATTCATGTATTTCAGAATATGGACAAAGCAAGATTATAGGATTTAAACAACTCACGCTCTTCTTTGAAATGTGTTTGTGGCAAATGTGTTCTCGCCGCTATTTTACGTGACCACATGACTGTAATCAGGATACTAGACTGATGGCTATCTCAGCTCCAATTTAACAGCTTCTTTTTCATTTTGAGGTGCTCCACTTACTCTCCTGCTCTCGTCTTTTACTTAAACAAAAAGAAATCCCACTGAATCTCAAGGTGTGGTGGAGGAGTGTACTGTAAGTGCCAACTCGAGGAGTCAGTCCCACAAGTGATTAATGGGAGGAATGCAGGTTTTTCTTGGCATATAAGAATTAAAGCTTGAGACTACTCTGCTCAGTCAGCAGCTCTAAGGCAGGAGGATCAGAGGAGCATGTGTCGTCATCTAAAGTCAAGATTCCTGTATGATGTATCCTAGAACTTCTTGATTTAATGGAACGAAAGCATAGCTATTCCAGTCTCCCTGTACTTAGGAGTTACACTACAAACATGAACAAATGCGGAGTTAGTGTCCCATTTTCGATTATTGCCACAGCTTTGTCACTGGTAACATATTTGTCGGTGACCCCTCGTGCACAGTGGATGGGAGCGTTGTGACCCGGAGGTGAACACTCCAATCAGGAGGCGAACTCTCAGTACAGCTTTGATTTGCAGTGACCCAGTGACCCATGGAAGCAAAAAGCCCCCTACTGCTGACAGAGCCATGGATCGTTCTACAGCTCACTGCTGAGGGCCGAATTTTTGTGGTCTCTTATGAAGTTTTTTTTTTGGTGCCACATTATTCGATATATAATTGGTTTTGTTTGTTTTTTAACTTTGAGACTTTACTTGCTCTCAATGTGGACCCGCTACACTGAAGTTCCTTTCATAATGAAGCTTTCTACATCATAAAATTCTAGTTATGCTTTAAATGATTATTTTCCAACATGTCCTGCATTCTTCTAATCATATTTAATGCAGACAAAGCTGTATGTTGTGGATTTTTAATACACCTAAAGTCCATTTTGAAAGGTCTTCAACAGGGCTATATATACATATGTATATTGTATATATGGATTGTGATGACCTGATTCTTCTTGAGTGGCGTTATGAATTTTTCAGATAAATCTGCCAGAGCTATATCTTCCAGTGCCTGAGTCTGCTGAATTTTTCATTTCTTCATTTTTTTCAGCGTGCAGTCGAAGCTCAAGTTTAAGGCCAGGCCCTTAAAGCTGCGACAAAAGGTGGATGTTTATGTCAGACATTCAATATGACAGGAACATGTACTCCACAAACAGCACTGCCCTAGATACTACAGCCTGTGTATGGAATCATCTAGAACTTGTATGTGCTGAAGTCTCAAAAGGAGTAGAAAAAGAATAGAAATAACATCTTCTTTTGTTTTTTTACTTAATTTCTCTGCACAGAGATTAGTTTCCATTTTCCAGATGTGCTAGGCTCTCTCCTCTTTTTTTGGTTTTACCTTGTGTGTCGACCATGTTCACCATGCTTCTGTCTTTGTGTAAAGCCTCTCCACTCTTCAGATGAAACATCACATATTATTCTAAGTGCAATAAAAGACCTAGTGAAGGTTCCACATAATGCCAGATGGGGAGACTTGTCTATACATGCTCCCACCCAGCACACCCAGTCTCCACCCACTTTCGTGTTGCCCCCCTTCCAAAGCATCCAATCTTGGGGGAACACTGGGCGATCAATGTTTTTTAGAAGGGGTCTGTGTTGTGAGTTGTGGGTTTTGAGTTTGCTTGTCCCCTCGGGTCGTGGAATATCGATTGTCATGCCCATCAGAGTCTCAGATCACATCGATATTCTTTGTGAAAATCAGGGTTAATGGACTCCCATGTTTACATGCAAACACTTCCCCCTTTCAAACGCTGTGTTAGGTTTTGGGGGCGGAATTGGAGATTCCCCATTTCATTGTGTTTTTTTTGTCCTCCCAGGCAAAGATAAGATACCTGATACCTCAATACAGCAACTCACTGTGACTACCAGTCCCTCGGGCTAATGTTATTGTAGTGAGTCCTCAATTCCTCACTTTCCCATGAGTCTACAATGGATTTATTCTTCTCATATTTCCAGTGCCTCTCTTTCCTATTGCTCATTGACAGTCAGTAGGAAATATATTGTTTCTACTCTTATTTCCAGGGCAATGAACATTCTTTGTATGTCACACAGAAATGCATTAAAAAAAAAATTTCTTTGTTTTTATAATTTGTGTTTTTTTTCATAGAGGCACTGTTCGACTGTCTTCAAGGGAAGACTATAGTGGAGCTGAAGTTGAATAACACACATTCACACTCACGCATAGTTTCTCAGAGTCTATTGTTTACCCCGTGCATCACTCTGGTTGGCTAAGCCGAGTGCTGGAAGCTTCCATTGTGTGAAAAGGAGGCACAAAAATGACATTTTCACTATGCAGCTCATTGCACGAGTCAGAGGGACCCTGGCAGGAGAGAGCCAAATTTGCAAGGTGCTGGTAATGCGGGAGTGAGGGACAAACAGAGTGAAGGGGAAAGCGTCTCTTAATCAGACTGGATTTGGGGGGAGAAACTGCTATTGTTTGGCTCCCCCATAGTTGCAGTCGCAGATGAAAAAAAAAAAGAAAAGCTGCTTGTCTTTTTAAAGGCACAGGAGGCTGGTGTCAGGGGAGAGAGTGAAGGAAAGAGGGGGGAGGAGGCAGCGAGAGCAGCAACACCGCTCAGCGATCTCAGCAACCAAAGAGACAAGAGGCACCTCTGAGAGACTTGCATGAAAACAGGATTACACTTACATCCTTTTTGTTTTGGTTCATTCCCTCTTTTACATCCTGCTCTTGGATATTTTGTTCCCTCCTGTAGCTTTATTTAACGCCAGATGTGAAGCAGGAACATTCCACGTCTGTAGAGGTGTAGAGGATCGGGGATGATGTGCATAAAGTGAGGAGCCCTTAATCATCCCGTGTTTTGCTCCTGATGCGAGAAGCTCGCTCATCCTCTGCACTGCAGCACTGTACGCTCAGCCAGCCTCCGGTACAGGCTCCCTGCCTGCCTGCTCTGCAAGGATCACCATCAAAAGGAGGAAGGAGTTTTGGGGGTAGCAGGTGGATGTGGAGGGTGGCCGGAGAACAGGAAGAGGCAGGGGGGGGCAGGGGTGCTGAGCTAGTTGAGGATGGGAGCCAACGAGTCCATGGAGCAAGGACAGAGTCCCTGTCCCTCTCAAGAACACATGTGAGTGAACTTAACTTTAACTCTTGCATCGCTGCTCAGTGTGGCGTCTGAAGATGTTCAGAGGTGTGATCAAACCCATTAACAAGGAGAACAACATCATAGATCCATTGAGAACTGAGGTGTACTGACATGTGGTGTGTTTGTTTTCTATGAATTCATGGCTTTGCCTTAGTCTTTCATGCCACACGAATGCTCAGTGTGCCGTCACTTGTGACTATAGGTGCATACAGGGCTGATTGTTTGTTATTTCACTGATACGGCTGAGAGATGAAGGCTGAAGACAATCCCTGTGGCTCACTTTTTTGTTTCCCTCCTCTGTTGTTGTTGTTTTTGAAACCTTCCCACTTCAGCCTATTAGCTCTTCCCTATGCATTCTGCCCACAAAACCTTTCCAGCCTGTAACGCTCTTGTGTAGCCAGCTGAGGATGCCAGTATTGTTTTGTTGTTTGCTATTGTGATGTCAACAAGGATGAGGAAATCGGAGCACGTGTGCATGCAAATGCACATCGTTTTGCCTGCGACTACAGTACGGATGAGACCTGGCTCAGCGGAGCCAGAATACAGTGCAGCAAGTACTGCTGGGAAGCTGGTGGGGTGATGTTTCGTTCTCTGGGAAGGAGGACGCGTCTGACGCGCTGGGAGTGGGACGTGGTGACTGTGTTGAAATAGAACACGCTGCATGTGTGTGTGGCTGCATGTGTGGGGTGGGAGGGAGTTACCACGGGAATATCAGTGGATGAGAGAAAGGGAGTTAGAGGGAGCGAGACGGAGCAAGAGTGCTCCACTTTGCTTTGTTTTATTTATAACTCAGACACACTACTGCGCCCGGGGGAGCAACAGAGGAGAGAGATCAGGGAAATGGACTGAACGCTGGTGTTTGTGTGCTGTAGAAATTAAAGATTAATGGCATAATAAAGTCATTTTTCATCTTAAAGTCCTACAAAGTCTAGGCCTCGGAGGACTGGATACTCTTGTATTAATATTCACAACTCACTGCTGTGAGCTTTTATCACAGGCTAGCTGTAATAAAAGTCAGCAGCTATTTTTCTTAAAGGTGTGCAGAGCTGTCCCAACCATTAACAGTACGACTTCTACTTTACTCCATCAGTTGTGGAACACTGTTTAAGGCACTAATAAGAAGCTTTCACACATCAAAACATTATATGTTACTAATCGGAGTGTACGAAAAAAGACCAAATTACTGACTTTTAGTTCTTTTCAGTCACATTTTATTTTAAAATGTAAAACAAGAGTCCAAGCTCTTTAATCATTAGTTATTATTAATCTCTGGTTCTCATGTCCTGTCTTTCTCCCTTCATCCTTAACTGATTATACCAGATGGCTGCTTCTTCCTGAGCCTGGTTCTGCTGGAGGTTTCTTCCTATTAAAAGGGAGTTTTTTCTTTCCACTGTCGCCAAGTACTTGCTCATAGGGTGCCGTCTGATTTTGGGGGTTTTCTGTCTATTACTGTAGTGTCGTTACCTTACAGTATAAATCATCTAGAGGTGACAGTTTTTGTGATTTGCTGCTATGTAAATAAAATTGAATTTAACTGAATGAGGACTGGGGCATTGTCTCTCGCCTACCTTTGCTTTCCAAGGTAGGAGAACGAACCAATCATCTGATCTCATAATCCAAATGGAGAGAGATGTTGCAGCCCCCTACTTGCCGATCGCCTGCTTTACTGGCGTCAGCCTGGCCTGTTGCCTTTTAATGCGCCATCTGCTTACAGTCATTGGTCAGATTAGGCTAAGTGTGGTATTACTCATAAAGATTATCTTAGCCTGACATTCTATCTTAATGGCTTCCTTGTTCTGAGACTTTGGACAAATGACCCCAGATTACAGGTGATCGCTGATCAGAGTTGACGTCAGCCTGGATGGAGATGAGAGACGAAAACTTCAAACCATCTGCTGTTTGAGAGATTATTTTGATAGTGCAGGTTCAGTAATCATTTGCAGATGTCATAGTTGTTTGTGTTTTTTTTCCCACTGTAAATCCTCTGCAGGCTGCTCCCTGTTAATCCCATCCTAGAAACTGTGCACGTGCTTTTGTAAAATGAAAATAGGTTGTAGCGTACAGTGGCTATGATGCAATATTTCATATTCAGACTCATTCATCAGTAGGATAAATGTGTCGGAGCTCCCTCTGTTGGCCTCTGTAGTTAAACTATCTAGGACAGGCATAGTATGCCTCTATATTTCATTATGATGCCATATTTTCCTCTTCCTTCTCTGTTCCTAGTATAGATCAAAACACAGCGTTACCTTATTAGAAAAGACACTTTGTAAAAGTTGTGCCTTTTTCATTATCCATTTTCTTTGGTGATAATTAGTTTGTCACTCATAATTGCTATGAAGCATCCAACAGATTAAGATAAAGATTATTGCTACTGCTACTTTACGCTGTTCTTTCCCTTTTTGTTGGGGGGGAAGTAGGTTCTTTGTTGGCCAAAATGCTAAAAGCAAATCACAAATCTGCCCGATGCTGAAACCCGTGCAGAGCTGAGAGTGGAAAAAAAATCGCTGGATCAGGAGCAGAAAACAAAGATGTAATGAATTTAGAGGTTTAGCTTTGGGGGTGTATGACAGTCAAGATTTGATGGAGGGAGTGTGCAGCAGCTAATCCTTTAAGGCTAATCAAACAGCAGCTTGGAGACCATCAGCCTGCCTCTAGTCCTCCCTCCCTTCTTCTTTCCCCCCCATCTCATTCCATGTCTCCTTATTTCTCTCTTTAGTGACGATGCCAGATTTACTCTTTTTGCAAAAAACGGACGATTGCTCGTCTCAATTTACAATTTAAAATTTATTCTTTTGAGCCGGATTCTGTTTTTGTGTCGGTTTTAACCCTGCTCCCCGTTTCTCCCGGCGGCTCTCCCTCCAGCGCTCTGAAAGCTGTTTAGACAGACTGCGTTGGATTCGGTTGGAAGCAGCGACACAGCTGGCTGTCTGAAAAGCAGCATCTTCCTGCCTCACGCTGCAGAGTTTCTGTCTCCAGGCAGTCATCTCAGCCTGCGAGAGGCTGCTATTAACTGCTGCTCTCTTTGTCTCCGCTCGTCCCCATATTCCCGACTGCTCTCCCACACCCTGCTCATCTTCTTTCTACGTTTCATCAGCTGCTATGTAGCACAGGAGCTGCTGCTGATATGGTTGCATTAACACAGTGGGCATTCCCCGGTGATTATTATTCATCTTATTAATTTCCATGATATCCACATTTAATTATATAAATTCTGTCGGTGTTTGATCGAATAGATGCCAGTGGAATAAATTAGAATAATGATGGCCAATAAGGACATTTACTGGATTAAATAATAGAGCAAAAGTAAATAGAAATTGATCATGTTTTTCCTAATGAGCTTTGAACAAAAGGATGCTGATGCAGCAGCTGCTTACCTCTGTGTAGATCTACAGTGTGCATTTATAGCATTTCACGTATCATAATATACTTCACTCAGTCAGCTGTGGGGGCCTTTTTAGGTTGTGTGTGTATTTTCAACAGCGTGGATCCAGACAGCTTTTCTTCTTCCGTATTCGTGGAACATATGGCGCGAGCAACCTCTAGTTACCATAGCAACACTGTGTTTGCAGTTGCATGAAAAATGCTATCCACAAGGACATAAACAGAGCTCTGAAATGAGCCCTAATTACTTTGTTATTGCCTTTTTGCTTTATTTGCATACATCTGGAAAGTAGAAGCTTTTGAGATTTTTTTTTTTTTATTTAAAAACATTAACTAAGCGGCTAAATTTCTTTTTTTATCGATGAATTAACTGAGTGGCTTTATTTTGTACAGTAAACCTAGATCGGTGGTCTGTAAGCTTATTTGCTCTTTGCATATTACTACCTGTAAGTGGGTCCTTGTCCTTGAAGCTGTCTGTGTCACTGCCTGCCTGACCACCTGAATGTACAAAGCAGTTACTAGTGACTGATCCAGATGGATTTGTAGGCATACCCGTCTTATCCTGCTGGGACACACTAGGCCCTCACAGAGATTACAGCTCTGTCTCACATCTAGACCATGTGCTGTCTCATCTGGCATCACAGCACCTTTGCAGAGTTAAGATAAAAAAACAAGTATTAATTACGCCCACCTAATATTTGATATGCTGTTGGTGTATTAACATTCATGTTTTAGATGCATGCGATATTGTTACAGCAGTATCTGCTGTTGCTGTAATGTAATGCTACATTACTGCTAGCTTGCTTGGTTTCTATTATTGACCACATTGAAGGCTTAAGTGGTGTCCCATGTACCCTTCTCATTCATGGTACACATTTATTTGAGCCATTGAAAGCTTTGGAATTTGCCTGGGGGGTAAATCTCTGTGTGTCTTTGCTTGAAGAAAAGCAAAATTTGTTGAATTCAGGCAGGAATGGACAGTATGAATAGAAAAAGATTAAAGGGTGCTGTAACATATATTACATGCCAGTTGAAATGGTGTTATTGCAGTACAGTATAATATACAATCCAAGAGAATGAGGTTTAACTGGCTGGTGTGTTTTAGACCTGTGCAGTGTGGTTATAGCAAAGATTTTCAGGAAAAAAGGAGGAAGGGGTAGAGGGATGGAGGAGTGAGAGAGCGAGAGAGAGCGAGAGAGAATATAGTGTACTGCTGGAGGTGGGCTTCTGCAGGCGGTCGCATTTAGATTGGGAGACAGCATTTCCTACTGAACAGGAGTGGAGACAAACTGATATGGCTACAGATGACAAAGAAGAGCAGCATGAAAGGACTGTAGATTAGAGACAAAGAGATCTGGATACTAGACGACAGAGAGAAGGAGACAAGGCAGAGGGAAGGCTGCATCCAGGATCCTATCTGTGGGCTCCTACCTGTGTGTCAGGCAGTAGCTCTGGTGCGGAGAGGTGCAGCCCACCAGCAACCATGGCAGTGAGTGCGTGGCAGGCTCTGTCTCCACTGCAGTGGGCTCGATGGGGCTGGGACACTCTGCTGGGTGGGGCAGGAGACGGGAACAGCCCAGACGCTGATCCGGCTCTGGGGCTCCTTCGCCGTCTCTCCTGGGGCTCACGTCATGACAGCATGATCAGGGCTGCCGGGGAACCGGTCAGACAGAGGTGAGACAGGATGGGGGACCGGAATCATATACCGTCAGATAATCCATTGATCAGCATAGCATTAAGCTGGGTAGCCAGGCTATGTTTCCAGCTTCGCTGCCACTTGTGTACTTGAGTGTGTTTTGCTGAGAATGATCAGATGTACAGACTTTATTTGCACGCAGAAAGCTTTAATTTCTCATTGTTTTAATTCAGGTGTTTCCGTATTTCCTGTGTATTTCCTGTATTTTATAGCTGTCATATCTCATCAAGGCTCTTGAGGCTTTCTGGTATATTTGAGTCTTAGTGTGTGCTGTGTAAGGTAATGCTTTGTCTCAGGCGTGTCGTTATCTGTCACCTCACTGCAGATTCAGCATTCTCATTGGAGCACCTAGAAATGAAAACATAAACTCATCATAGCCTGGAGCTTTTTAAATTTTTTAAACCATCACACATGACAGGAAATACTCTTACTGCCATTCCCACATGATGTACTGCAAGCGTGTAATAAACTGTGTAGCCTCTGATTAAAAATACCTCCAACATACCGTGACATAAAGAATAACATTAGAGCTGCACGACTGGAAAATAATTCTGTCCTTCGTGATGATATTATCTTTCACCTTTTTCTTGAGATGGATGGATATTTATGTTAATGAGCCTGATATGGGTCGTTATAGTCCAGTGGGTATCGGCCTGCTTCACAGCACCTTTCACTTAATGTTTCCTCATCTTTTATTGTAGGAGCTCAGACTCTGATGGCGCTTTTGAGACCCCTGAATCTACAACTCCAGTGAAGGCTGTTTCTCCAGCTGAGCCTCAGATAAAGCAAACAACATCTGACGAGAAAGGTACAGCAGGACAATTATTTCATGATCTTTGCTTAGTTTTATACCGATTTAAGCTGTTTCACTATTGAAAAAGTGTTGTTACTGGATGGATTGTTACACCACCTAGTGGAATGAAGTTGTAATTTAAATCTGGCTTCTTTTTTTTTTGCCGTGTCAGCCTACAGCGCTCAGAGCTACATCTCTGGGGACACTTTATTCTCTTTTATGTGTTTTTTTCATGCCTTTTTGTCCAGTTGGGACATTCATTGAATTATTTATAACACATCCATCTCTAGAGTTTAAAGTGTCACACAAAGACACTCACAGAGCAGTTAAATTCTACCATAGTCTACAGTACTGTGCAAAACTTCACCCCTCATTTCTTTATATTTTTCAGAAAAGCAGGAAATAGGTCCAGCAGTTTATTAAAATATGTGCAAATACAGATGGGAATAAATAAAGTTTTTACAATTCTACTGAGCTTAGTCAATATTTGGTATGACCATCTTTATTTTTCAACACAGCCTGAACTCTCTTAGCAAAGCTTTTGTGCTGAAAAATGAAGCTGTTGCCATTCAGATGCTTACCAGATGGTACTGTATGGTGGATCAAAATCTGACCATATTTTTCTGTATTCATAAATCCCATCAATTTTGACAAGATTATCAAGAAAAGGCTAAAACGCCTCCCCATAAAATGATAGGGTCTTCACTGTACTTTATTCTTTGGCAATCACCTTGCAAAAATATGATTTCATGCCTGTCTAACTGTATCTTTGCTATTTTTCACTGATTCGGAAAAAAAAACAAGCAAGAAAAAAAAAGCATGTTTTGTTCGACTGAATGGTTGGATTAGTTAGACTCTAGAAATCTTTGTCTTATGTTCCACATCTTTCAATCTCCTTTTGCAGTAGAAGACACCTCAATCACTGATCCTACATCTGACTTCACTGCAGCCGAACTACCATGCCATTCTGCGTCAAATACTTTTGATGAAAACAAGCCCATCGCTGCCAGTGGTACATATAACATTGACTTTTTTGCTGCAGAATCAACGACTCACACTCTAACCCGTTCTCTGAGCCTCCAGGGAGGAGAACTAGATAGTTCTGCTCTGTTGGACGGATCACCTTCAGGAGGTTTCCGTCCACACTCCGAGTCTTTCAGTGTAGGCACTGAGAGTGCCCCAGGGACACTCCGCAGGCCCAAGAAAGGTCGTCCTGGGTCTGTAAAGAAAAAGCCTCTTCTCAGACAGAACTCTAACCCAGAGAGCCCAAGGCCAGACTCATCCAGCAGCACCCCAGAAATTAAGAAGCGGGCGAAACCTCGAACAGCCAGCCCTCTCCAGGCTCAGGAGGAAACTGAAGGAGGCTCTGCAACACCGAGTCCTGGAGGAACGCAGCGAAAAGCCAGAAAGACCCGTGTTGAGACTCCTCCTCCCCTGCCAGAGGAGACCAATCATACCACCCAAGAGGAGAGCCTTATTGTTGCTGCCTTACCTTTATGCCAGGAGGAGATACCCCTCCCTGAAAGTCAAGCAGACAAAGAAGAAACCCCCATCCCTCCCAGTGGCTCCTACAAATGGGATCCAGACAACTTTGAGAACATCAACCCCTTTAAAACCGGAGGTAGTAAAATTGCCAATTCCCCTGTTTTGGGTCGTAAGGAGCCTGTGTGTGCCCCCATTTCCACCCCTCTAGAGAGTCCCCCCGTCCCATCTGAGGAACCACATCACCCCAGTCCACCCGCTCCTATTAGAGAGCCAGTCACGAATCCTGAGGAGCAGCCCATTATACCCAAGCGTCAGTCACTAAGACTGGAGTTTGACTACTCCGAGGAGAGTGGTGAGGCATCACATCAGGCCTCTCCTCCACCTAAGAAGCTAGGCAAGAAGCCAGGTGCCAAGATGCCTCTGAGGAAACCAAAGCTGGGGCTGAAAAAGGCGCCTCCAGCACAGACAGAGCAGCTGGACAACATTCCTCCGGCAACTCACAACAGCAACGAGGATGAAATCCCGGCAACTAAAGCATCTTACACCTTTGAACTCGACAAGTATGAAGATCCAAACTTGAATCCATTTACTTCAAGGAAAAGTATCACCAACTCCCCCAAACTATCCAGGCCGCCTTATAACTTTGATGACTCCATAGACCCTTTCAAAAGCTCCAACAAGTTGGCCAATTCCCCTCCTAAGACTTCTGCCTCATTTGAACTGTCATCCAATGACAATGATACTGAAAATGACAACCTCGGGGAATTAGAGGACCAGAACCAGAACAAACCTGCCAAGAAGAAGAAAACTCCCATCAAATCGTAAGTTCACTCTGTATTACCAGAGGATTGTCTATTCACAGAAAAGTCTGCATCAGTCTGTGAGGATTTTAGGTTAGTCTGTGTTTATATGTGGTTCTCTAGCCAGTTTTGCCAGTGTCCTCTGTCTGTCTGTCTGTCTGTCTGTCTGTCTGTCTGTCTGTCTGTCACCTGTGTCTGTGTATTCTCATATGTCACAGGAAGTCCAGGGGTGTGTCTTCTCTATGTTGTTTTTTGTAAGTACAGGGACAACACAGCCATCCACCCTTTTGCCCTCTAATTCAATCTGGCCCTCTTTGAACCAGCATGTTGCCCTGTTGTCCCTATTAACAGAAACATCAAAATCATTTGTGCTCGCTATTAAATCACTGAAACTCATTAGAAACGTACCCATTTTAACTGGAGTATCCATGCCAGTTTAAATCACCCATAATCCCTCCAATAGAAGATCCCGTTAGTAAATTAATGCTATATTTCTATTGACTTATGGATGGATAGTGGTGAAAAACTCTTTTGTTTTTTGTTATTTTGCTTTCCTTTTTTACACTGAAGTATCTGCAATAATTTTGTTCATCTGTATCCAGTTGTAAGCGTTTAACAAAGGAGGTGCTGGTGCCCCCTCTGGTGTTCATTGTTTGCTATTGAGGAAAGAACGAACGCTACAGTGTATCAGCGTGTGCCAGGATCACATACAGTTTGAAACAGGCTGGACCAGAAGCTACATTTCTTTTAATGCAGTGAACTACAACTTAGTGATAATATTTAATGAAGGACCCAGATATCATAAAAACATGTACAATGTCAACAGTATGTTTTATTGCATGTGAATTACAGCAAATTTGGCTCAGGCCACATATCTGATACTACTGCTATTTAATATATTTTTACAGGGATACATAACCCTTTTATTAATTCAGGCATGCATTACACATTAAACACTGAGCATAAAAACAACAGGGTCTATGCAGTCCTGTGAAAAACTAAGTACATCATTACTGCTTTGATAGGAATTAAGGGGGTAAGTAGTAGCCAGGTGCTGCTAATGCACCTGATTAACCGATCATGAGCAAGTGAGAGCACTGAAGCAGCACTGTAAAGAAAGGTTGGTCAAAATTCCTCCACAACAATGTGAGAGACTGATAAAGTCTGAGAAAAAAGAAAACTGCATAGAGCCGTGTGAAAACTTGTTGTTGCACGTGACTGTATGTATTTACAGTGTAAGTAAGTGTAAAATTGGATAATTCCTTCTAAAGGTTGTTGCAAAGTTCTAATAATTAAGCTACAGTATTGTTTACCTCATCATCATGATCACTAAACCTGGAAAACCAAGCTGCTCATAACATAATATTAATTTTCCATTACTCTTCACTGTCCAGTTACTAACTATAGATTCAGCCCTCTTCAGAAGCATTTACTGTTCTATCCATTTCAGCCACACACAGTAAGCAGCACTGTTGCACATGTGGAAATGAACTATGCAAATTATTGTTTTTTGCAATGATAATTTTATGCAAAATCCAGTCTTTCCAACTAGCTCATATTTTAGCATCTACGACTACACAAATGCTATATAAATGTGCAGCAAATGCAGAATTAAATACAGATAATGATTGACTCTAGAGTTTGACGGTGGATCTTTTTATATCCCCTCAGTAATACTTTCAGAGTGAAGAGGTCGCCAAAGAAATCACCCTTATCTGACCCATCACAGGTATGTATCTGATATGCAATCTCGCTTGGCTCTCCCGCTTTATCTATGTGCATTTCTCCCTCTTTCATGTGTCATCACTCTCTGCCGCCTTTTTTTTGTGTCGCAGGATCTTATACCCGCAGATGAACCTTCCTCCCTTCACCAGCAGGATGACCATGCCACAGATGAGGAGAAACTAGCCTCCTCCACCAGTCATAAGTGGGCAGCCCTGCACGACATGGATGGAGATTTAAACTCTGACCAGCAAGACTTTCCTCAACCGTGCGACCTTACATCCTTTGTTAATGAGAACAGCCTTCCTAAGGAGACTCCAGGTGAGGCATAACTGTCTGACTCTCTGTAACTCTCGGTAATTCAGAGCTTATGTCTGGATAAATCCTTACATACTGTATATGAATCAGAAACTTTACCTTTTATTCATACTGCTGTGTTATTGATTTTTCTTGTGGCAGCGATATAAGTCTGCTGGCCCAATTCTGTACTACCCTCTGACCTTACGCAAGAGCCAACGCTTCCCAGAGGCTATCTGGTTCACCCCATCTGGGTCAGAGATGGGAAAACAAACAGCCCTGCTTCGTCCTCTGAACTTGTCAAACCAGAGCTCAGCACACCACTGATGCGTCTCTTCATTTTGTTTACTGTATCTAATGCTTTGTTTTGCCTTTCCCTCTCAGTACAAGACTATGAAATTGAGTACATGGAGAAGATTGGCTCCTCTTCCCCAGTGAGTATTTAATATTACAGACAGATTGTATTTGAGCTTGTCTTATGGTCACTACTTTTAGTATTTATAGCATTTATTTTACATTGTTTGTGTGCTATATGATATTTTAGCCTTTAAAAGTAGATAGTCTTCGTTCTTGTTTTTAACCTTGTGTGTCTTTTAGCCTCCGTCTGCAAAGAAGCCATCTTTGTACTTGAAGTTGGACTCGGTATCTGACAACTTAACCAAAAATACATGTGCGCATGGATCTGAACCCAGCTCCCCCTGCACAGGGTAAAATAGTTTACTTGCTACGCTTGCAACTTTGTTTCTTTGCTGTACTACGTAATGGTTTTGTTAACGTATACTACGTGAGTTTTACACTGCATTTTTAAGTCCCTTTCTTATTCTCGTGTGTGCTAAGTGTACACCACAAATAATGTATAATGCATTCGTTTCAGCTCCTTCAGCAATGTTTTCATTAATGCTGTCGTCCATCATATGCGATGCATTACATGCCGTGCCTTTCCCCGCCTCATCTCCTGTTGGGTTTTTCTCATTCTGTGCAGGAGTTTTGAAGAGATGGAGGCCCAGATTACAGCAGGTATGAAGACACCGGTGCTCAGCTCCCGGCCTGGCCCCGAGGGCTCTGCTGCAGACAAGGGCAGGAAGAGAGAAAGCGAGGTGCTCAGTCGAACACAGAGCACAGAGATGGAGGAGCAGGTAAGTCAAGTGCCTTTGTGGACATTTAATTACAGTTAATTTGTTGTGCATAAATGTAATTTACACTCATGTCTAGTCATTACCATTTAAGGGGAAACTGTCATGTTTTTTGATTTCGGAGCATTTGCACCATGCTGTTGTTTAGTCACAAGGGGGAGACAGTGCCACGCTGTAAATGCTTTGTCATTGGCTGTGACTCAGCCCTCCAAAGTGAACACCATCAGTCACAGGGATTCTTATTAAATCCTTGTCACTGATAATGAAAAGCCAGTCAGTCACACTAGGTTCCCAGCTCAGATTCAGCAAACCACCTCCCAATGCTGCCACTCAAAAAAAAATCTCAGCGCTTGCTTTGCCATGCTGTCCCCCTGCCCCCTCCTCCCTCCCCTTCTGCCTATACCTCCTGGTGCCCTTGAAGCCCCCTAGCCAGGGCCCCGTGGAGGCACTTGCGCCAGCCCTGGCCATGCCCCTGTTAGACAGGCTGTCTGAGTGTGACGACCCCCTGCAGTACCTGGAGCCTGACCTGGCTGAGACCAACCCCACAGCATTCGCCCAAAAACTGCAGGTGTGTTGAGAAACCACACAAGACCCTACTTGATAAATTTGCCGACCCATATTTGGGCCTTGATATTTGTCTCTGTGTGTGTTTTTGTACAAAACATTATTCCCCGTTGTGTCACTGTGTTACATCCTGCCTTTTCATTTTCCCATTTTTTCCTCCTCCTCCTCCATAAGTTGCAGTTTTTTTTTTTAGCTTGCTGGGTAAAATAGATTACTGGTGCATAAAATGTAGATGGCAGATCAACTCAAATTTCATGTGTTTCCCTCTTACTCTGTCATTCTTGGGCTGCAACCTCTCCTCCCTTACCACTGAAATTCGGCCCTCCCAATGTGTGCGGCCAAGGAGGAGCTGGTGCTTGCTGCCCTGAGGATAGAGGCTCTGCAGGTAGCCAAAAACATCTCTCAGTGCCCCTCCCTCTCCACTGTAACCCCCCAGGTACTGCGCTGAGTCAGCCTGCACCTGCTGTATGCAAGTGTGTGTGTGGGTGAACAAGTGTGTTTGCAAGAGCAAAAGATGCATCTTGAATGAGGGATTAGCGAAACGCAGGTGTGTGTGAAATGCACATGTGCGTGACTGTGTGTGCGTGTGTGTGTGTGTGTGTGTGTGTGTGTGTGTGCATGAGTGTGTCTCAGCCTGCCTCTCCCTCCCCTTAAACACACCATTTTGAGTGTGACTGTGAATCCATGGCCTTATCAACATGGTGGCTGTACAGCTGCATCCACAGTCCCGCCACCTTCCGCGTCCCCACATTGGACTCTAACATGGCTTGATGCGTCCCAGCTCCCACCCTGACTACCAGCGAGCTCCATTAAGCCTTAGGAACCAAGTGCTGTGTCTTAGTCCCTTGCCTTTGTGATGCATGTTGGGCAACATGCATGTTGCCTGTTTCATGAGAAACTTACGTCAGCATGAATGTGACTGGGAAT